CACCTGCATCACTATACATAGTAAATATGTGTATGTATTTGGTAAACATATGATAAAGCATGAAGTATCTTTCATTGTCTAAATATCTAACCTCAACATTCTCAAAACTTCCATATTTTGTTATAAATTTGAAGTCACCTAAACATGCTCAATATCACATGAATTTCTATATTTAAGAATTTTTTTAAAAACTCTCTTTAGCTACAACAGAGATGGAATATCCAGATTTTGAGGGCATAGACAATAGTGAAAAGGGGGTGAAAAGATTAAAGCCAGGGAAGAAGAAGAGTGTACATTCGAAAGAAGAAGAAATAAAGATGACCTTCTTCGCACAAAGGTCAAAAAAAGCTAGAACTCTGAAACAGTTAAAAAAGAATGTTAAAAATCTGCAAAGCCTAACATTTGAGCCCTTAGAGACAATTTGTGTTATAAAGGAGAAGAAAACTCAAAAATTTAAATACTTTGGATTTGGAGAAATTGTTCATAATTTTGAAATGGGAAAGCCGTTATCAGTTGGAAGACCAAACAAATCAAGGTTGTCAAAGGTTTTCCCAGGACCAGAGGGAACACAGCAAGTCGACCCTCTGACTCCTGGGAAATACGCCTTCTCATTTGGAACTGGAGCGGGGTCTAGCCTGAAGGAAGGCCAAAAGAATGAGTTAGAGAAAGTAAGGATTGAGAGCACGGAGACTCAAACAATGAGGTAATTTTAAGATAGCACTATATGTTATTTAATAATAACTAATGATCATTTTTCATATCAATGGACAGTGATGGAAACACAATATTCTTTGAGGGACTTTTTCTCTGGAAACAGTGATACCCTTTATGTGATTGCCACCTGCAGATGTTTCCATTTCTTTAAGGCTTTAACATGTACCTAATTAAACAAATTTGATCTGATATAAAAACATATAGTATCTTTCATGCACATTAGATTAATATTTTCATATGCTTGACTAGAGTGTATGTTTAATGCAGACTTGAGACCATTGGTAGAAAAAGAAAACTATTTAAGAATGCCAGTGCCAATGACAAGAAAAAACAAAATGAACGAAAAAAAGACGGGGAAAAGGAAGCAGGGAAAAGAGGAAGGGGGAGAGGACGAGGAAGGGGAAGGGGAAGAGGAAGGGGAAGGAATATGAGGTAAATAATTTAATAATTCCAATAAGATTCATAGGTTTGTATAGCAGTTATCCTTTGTGGAGACATCTGCTTCATTGTAAAATTATAATAAGCTGACAACTTATGTATTTCCTGTCTTGTACTCTTGTAAGGGTTTCTGACAGCAACTCCAGTGATTCGGATATTTTCCCTCTTCCATGCCTGGAGGGCAGTGATTCATTGTAAGTAGGCATTTATTATATTCATAATTTTTAACATATACTACCTTGACAATGTTAACCTGTATTTTTGTCTCATTTTCTATGCTTGTATTTAATTCTAAAGCCATTTAAAATAAGTCCTGCTTTGTTTTATAGCCATGATCATTCTGACCATGATGGTCCTACTAAGGAGAAAAGGAGTGTCCCTTCAGCAACATGGTACATTGTATATATAACTACCAGTATATTGTAAGATATTCATGTTCAGTGATGTTCTCAGCCTGTTTATAATGAAATGCCTATGAACATGATGAAAAATATCAATATTTTAATACTGGCAAAATGTTTCATTTCCATAATAGCAACAAGAGTCCCTAGATACATTTTAATAGTTATACAAAATGTAAAAATTTAGTCAAAGACATTTTATTTACAGTGTATCACTTGAGGACAGTGCAAGCTGTGATTTGCAAGATAGCCCCACCAGGTATATGATATTTTTTAAATCATTATTGTATCCATATTGTGCTTCATTTCCTCAAGAACATCAAGTCATTAGAAAATAACCATATCATGCTCATGCTTCCTTACATCTGCTTCATACAGTATCTGCAAAGTTTTCAATATGACTTAATGTGTTGGCTGTTACGTGATGTCAAGCTTCACTGTGTTCATTTCGTTAAATAAACAAAATATTCATGAAATATACAAAAATGATTGGGATTGGGCTGCAAGCATAACATATTTTAGCCCATGCTTTACATTCATCTTATTGTGTGCATTGTCATGTTTATCACTCCATCTTCATATTCACCATCATCATGAATCTTTTTTTTTACACCATGTGTACTCATGATAGTTTGATGACATTCAACGATCTGTTGTACGATTGTATAAACGAACAGGTACAAAGTTCATTCTAAATAGTGTAAATTGAAATTCTAATATTTGATAGAAATAGTGTAGATGAAGTATGCTATTGAAAACTGAAGAAATTTTGTTATAAAATTGTTGATACTAATGTAAATTAATGTTCACGACTTATCATGTTCATGTTAAAAACAAGTCTCTCTGCATGTCATTCATTGTTTGCATGGTGTTTACATTTAAAAGTCAATGCGTGTATATATATATTTATTATATACCTAATGTGTATCATCCAATTTTACTGTTGAATTTACGCTATCACGTGACGTCGTGATCCGATTTTCCGGATCACCAACATGTTGTTTTCTGAATCCATATCACCACTCTCTGAAACTGATGACGTAGTACGCAAAAATATGACGTTATTTTTCTTGCACGTTAAAAAGTCCCTTGTAATTATGCATTGTTTAATGGATTTATATTGTACAATTGATCTTTAAAGGTTTATTCTAATATATTTAGCCAGTTATAAGGGGGTATATAATAAATTTATCATTATAAAAGTAACTTGATCCGAAGAGCCTTATCACGTCTCGTTGACAGGCGCGGATCATCAGATCAAACTAGTCGCTTGGCGTCTCGTTTGATCTGATGATCCGCGCCTGTCAACTCGACGTGATACGACCCTTCGGATCAAGTTACTGTTATAATAAATATTTAAAACATGTACCTATTTGCCATTTATTGCATTGTGCATGTTGTGTGCATGTGACATTCTGCATGTCCTGCAAGGTAAACAGTCACAGGTGAGACTGAAATCCATCATATTTAAAAATGATTGATAATTGTCATTTCTTCTGAATACACAATGTACATGTTCTTATTGTTTTTTGTAAATATGTCTTGTTTTCATCATATTTCCATTTCTAAGTTAATTCTTCCAACCCATTTACTACAGTAATAAGATACAGTACACTATCCTGCCATGGACCCATATGTAGAGAAAAATCTTGACAACAACTGAATCTAAAATAAATTAGTGTGCCCCGTAAAACTAACGACATAATTAAGTGCAACCAGGCCTAATAATTTGATAAAAAATTATGACATACAGTCATTTCAATTTTTAGAAGTAAGACTATATTTTAAAATAAACTCCAAATAGTTTATGACTGTTTTTCATCATTATTCTAAAAAAAAATGATGAATTTTAGTCATTATTAAAAATTTATTTTATGACTGGAATTCATCATTTTTGAATTTTTTTGAAAATTGTGAATTTCAGTCTCACCTGAATGGTAAATTCATGAACAGATGAAGTGTTAACATTTTAACAGTCAGTATGATCAGGGTGAGACAAAAATCCATCATATTGAGAATGATGGATAATTGTTATTTTATTAGCTTCATAATGTACTTATTTTATTTTTTTCATAAATATGACTTATTATATTAAAAGAAATTTAATACAAAAAAGATGATATATGATCATGTTTGTCTTCATAGGTAACTCTATATATTATAATAAACTCCATATTTTTATGACTGTTTTGCATCATTATTCTAAAAAATGGTGAAATTTAGTCATTTCTAAAATATAACTTTATAACTAATTATCATTATTTTCAGAAATGATGAATTTCAGCCTCACCCCAGAATATTACAAAAAAAAATAGTAAACTGTTAAATTGAATTTTTCTTAATTCCATCATCTTATTTTACCAGTAAATACAATTATTTTAGCACTGTTTAGTGGTACAACATCTCTTAACTTTAGTGTTACATCATCATGTATGTGTGTGCTTTTGTTATTGTAATGAATAGCAAATTTGACAATGAAAATACCTTGAATATTAGTGGTTCATGTAAAGTCTGCAACACAGTAAAATTTCAAATGATGAAGAACCCTGGATATGTATATATATATATATATATATATATATATATATATATATATATATATATATATATATATATATATATAAAATTAGAATGGTGAACATTTCGTTTGTTGATCTCAAATTCCTTTGAACACTGTTGAACACTTGATAATAACAAAAAAATAATTTGCAGGGAGATCTTAGCTCATTTGAAAACTTGCTCCCCACTTCACCAGAACCACCCTCCTTGTTTGAAGGCAACACTGCAGCAGACACAACACAAGAAACACAAGCCAAAAAGGCCAGGGCGTCTAACTTGATTGATATGGCAGAAGTAAGCTACATTTGAATATTTAGCTTGAATATCCTGCAATACATTCAGTTTTGTAATCAAATGTGGTGTTTTGATTAGGTCGAAAGCATTCCTACTAGGCCAGAACCACCCTCCTTGTTTGAAGGCAACACTGCAGCAGACACAACACAAGAAACACAAGCCAAAAAGGCCAGGGCGTCTGACTTGATTGATATGGCAGAAGTAAGCTACATTTGAATATTTAGCTTGAATATCCTGCAATACATTCAGTTTTGTAATCAAATGTGGTGTTTTGATTAGGTCGAAAGCATTCCTACTAGGCCAGAACCACCCTCCTTGTTTGAAGGCAATACTGCAGCAGACACAACACAAGAAACACAAGCCAAAAAGGCCAGGGCGTCTGACTTGATTGATATGGCAGAAGTAAGCTACATTTGAATATTTAGCTTGAATATCCTGCAATACATTCAGTTTTGTAATCAAATGTGGTGTTTTGATTAGGTCGAAAGCATTCCTACTAGGCCAGAACCACCCTCCTTGTTTGAAGGCAACACTGCAGCAGACACAACACAAGAAACACAAGCCAAAAAGGCCAGGGCGTCTGACTTGATTGATATGGCAGAAGTAAGCTACATTTGAATATTTAGCTTGAATATCCTGCAATACATTCAGTTTTGTAATCAAATGTGGTGTTTTGATTAGGTCGAAAGCATTCCTACTAGGCCAGAACCACCCTCCTTGTTTGAAGGCAATACTGCAGCAGACACAACACAAGAAACACAAGCCAAAAAGGCCAGGGCGTCTGACTTGATTGATATGGCAGAAGTAAGCTACATTTGAATATTTAGCTTGAATATCCTGCAATACATTCAGTTTTGTAATCAAATGTGGTGTTTTGATTAGGTCGAAAGCATTCCTACTAGGCCTGAACCACCCTCCTTGTTTGAAGGCAATACTGCAGCAGACACAACACAAGAAACACAAGCCAAAAAGGCCAGGGCGTCTGACTTGATTGATATGGCAGAAGTAAGCTACATTTGAATATTTAGCTTGAATATCCTGCAATACATTCAGTTTTGTAATCAAATGTGGTGTTTTGATTAGGTCGAAAGCATTCCTACTAGGCCAGAACCACCCTCCTTGTCTGAAGGCAATACTGCAGAAGAAGAAACGCAAGCTTGTCAAGTTGGTTCACACATAGAGGTGACACATGGGAAAGAAATTTTGAAAGCTGTTGTAAGTACATTGGAACACATAATTTTTGAAGTTGTTCTAATTTTCACATAAATGTACTTATTTTCTTTTTTTATTAATCATGATAATTATTTGTTCTAATGTATTTATTTAATACAGATCTCAACATGCTTAAAGATGAAATACATTTAACAATTTATTTTGGTTTTTACTATGCTAGGAATAATTTTTCTTTCAGATTGTTCGTCTGTCTGCAAACCCAATGGGTTATTGGGTTCGTTTTTTTCGAAAAGCTTCAAAGGGGGTTTATGGACTTGAAGAGAAAGAATTCTTCATTGTGAATGAAGACATTTCTGATAGAATTCGTGACCCTACTCTAGAGGCCTTAGGGTCACGACTGTTTTATAAGTTTTAATAGAGTTAAAGTTACCTTAGTTAATCTTTTTATTTTTCATATGTTTGTATATACACAAACATGCGTGTTCATAAGCATCATAATAGCTTGTCTTGTGGTAAACAAAATATTTTCATTGAATTTTAGCTCTACTGGTCAGAGACCAGAAGATCTTATGCAAAAGTAAGATTCAGCCGTCTATATGTCTAGCTGTTTATTTGTATGTTTGCCTGTATACAACTTCTCAAAATACTACTCTTCTTACAGTTTTGCACTAGTTTCATTATATCTTGACACACAAGTAAACTACACTAAAATAATTCTGTATCTCAGTTTTTGAATTCCATGAGTAGTTTTGGTCTGATTTCAATATAACTTGTGGTACACACGTGACACTTATCTCATCCTTATATTAAAAGTACAAACCAATAGAGCTACAGTCTCTTCAGAGAATTCTTGTAAATATTTTTACAGATATAGATCTATATACTTCTGTGCATCCATCAGGTCCATTTTCATTTGTTTTAACTGTAACAATAACCATGATGAAAATGGAGGGGTACCATTATCATGATTATGTTCATGTGCATAATAATTAACACATAACTTCTTTCTTTTAGTTGAATGTTCATAACAAATGACTGGGTGAGACTGAAATTCATCATTTTTTAAAATAATTGATTTTTGTAGTAAAGACTAAAATTCATCATTTTCTAGAATAATGATGAAAAACAGTCATAAATTTTTGGAGTTTAGAGTTACTTCTGAAAATAAATATGACCATATTTTGTCATTTTTTTTTTATCAAATTAGTAGGTCTGGATGTACTGCATTATGTAATTTGTTTTACAGGGGGTGCACTTTTCACTGTCAAGATTTTTCTCTACACATGGGTCCATAAAGGATAATGTAATATATCTTATTATTGTAGTAAATAGATGGAAGAAATAACTTTGGAATGGAAATATGATGAAAACAAGTCATATTACCAAAAATAATGGAAATATGTGCCTTATATAGTTAGAAATGACAAAAACCAATTATTTTTTAATATGGGGGATTTCAGTCTCAACCCTGACATGAAGTTATGATGATTTTTATATGTTATGATGATGTTATGACATGTTAACATTGTGAACCTTACGAGATTCTCATTATGAGACATTCACAATTGACCATATTGACCAATCATACATCATTTTTTCAGTTATACAACTTTTAAAACACGATGAAGGTTTGCATTCATTCATGTAAGCATGAACAACACATTTGTTTCTAATATTAAAGGTATTGTTTTAAACTTAGTTTGTATTTGTTCTTGTCAAACATTTAAAAAAATCATTTTGTGCTTGAGAAACACTATATCATGGCCGTAAAAACGTCATTCCCCCCCCCCCATAATTTTATAATAATTATAATTTTATAGAAAACTTAGGTACTATATGCTTGTGCTTAATTCCCACACCCCCCCCCCCCCCCCCCCCCCACCAAAACTGAAATTGCTTCCTACTGGCCTGATAATGATTATCAATATTATATATAATCAGCAAATGCTCATCAGTAATCATGGTTTTCTCTTATTTTGGGTGATATTTAAAAAAAACCTTTAAAAAAATCATTTTGTGCTTGAGAAACACTATATCATGGCCGTAAGAACGTCATCCCCCCCCCCCCCAATAATTTTATAGTAATTATAATAATTATAATTTTATAGAAAAATTTGTTACTATATGCTTGTGCTTAATTCCCCCCCCCCCCCCCCCCCCCCCACAAAAACTGAAATTGCTTCCTACTGGCCTGATAATGATTATCAATATTATATATAATCAGCAAATGCTCATCAGTAATCATGGTTTTCTCTTATTTTGGGTGATATTTAAAAAAAACCTTTAAAAAAATCATTTTGTGCTTGAGAAACACTATATCATGGCCGTAAGAACGTCATCCCCCCCCCCCCCCCCCAATAATTTTATAGTAATTATAATAATTATAATTTTATAGAAAACTTAGGTACTATATGCTTGTGCTCCCCCCCCCCCCCCCCCCCCCCCCCCCCCCCCCCCCCCCCCCCCCCCCCACCAAAACTGAAATTGCTTCCTACTGGCCTGATAATGATTATCAATATTATATATAATCAGCAAATGCTCATCAGTAATCATGGTTTTCTCTTATTTTGGGTGATAAATAGTTTATTGAGGATGAAACTTGATAAAGAGAGACAACTCTATGAACTCTTAATTTTTATGACTGTTTTCCATCATTTTTTCCTTGTTTCTTTAAAAATGATTGATTTTAGTCATAATAGAACTTTTAAAATATGACTGAAAATCATCATTTTCAAAAATGACTGATTTCAGTACCACCCCTGACTGTTGGAAGTTTCAAATTTTAAGGAGATATGATAAAACTTGTTTAATTTTTAATTTGTTAAATTTTAGTTTCAGTCAATAGGTGGCATAAAATAAATAGACCTTTATTTACATAAAACAACCCTTTGAAAAACAGGTCATCATTATGTCATCCAACAAAAACTTTAAAAATAAAATCTGTAAAAAGGAAATAAAATCATACCTACCTACCGACCCACTCTTAAAATTATAGGTCGGCAACTGCAAACAATGAAATTTTTAAGCTTGGCCTTAGCGATTACTCCTAAAAAGTTGGTAATTTAATTTTAGCCAGAGGTAATTTTAGCGATTAAAAAATGCTAAATAAAGAAACAATAACAAATAAAATGCAATTTATTTTTAGCGATATTCAATTTTAGCAATCTCCGGAACCTCGCTTTTAATGCCAAAATTAAATCCTCGCTAAAAATTCTACTTAAGAAGGACAAGTAAGGCTAACACACCTTTTTTTTGCCCATTTTTGGAAGTTATCTTTCCGCCACATAAGACTCTGTGATCACCTGAGGAGGTACATTACCTTTCTGCTACATTAGACTCTGTGATTGCCTGAGGGGGAACCCTCCATGGACAACTGTATCTCCCCGGGGACATCCGTGCAAAGTCAAACTGACAGCAAATCTTAGGGTCAGGGCCACACGTGTGGGGGATGTCGTACGAATAAAACGGCATGGTGTGAGTTAAAATGTCAGAACTGCCCTCTGTGTCTGTATAAAAAATATTATAACAATACACATAGATAAATTCTATCGATGTATTAATATAAAGATTTTGTATTACATTTTTAATAAAGGGCATGGTATAAGACAAGATTTTGGAATAGAAAACATCCAAATAAGATAAATATCACTGTATCTATATCAACAACAGATGTTTGTAAAAAACTTATGCCCCCTCCCCCAAAAATTGGAATGGAGTATATATGATAAGAGCCAATTCTGGCCCCCTAAAAATCAACATTTTAGAATGACATTCAGATATGTTTTATTGATATCCATTTTGTAGAAGAGATTATATTAGATATATTTCCAATACATTTTTCACACATATATGCACTCATGACATTAGAAATAATACTTTTTTTTGCTACCTAACAAAAAAGCTAAAAATATGTCTCTTTCTTGATGTTTTTTCTTATGGGAAACATAGAGCGCAGTGCAGAACATAAATAATTTTTCTGCCACATATCAGTATTGGATAGATACATCTTTGGTTAAAATATAAAGCTTGTTCTACACTGCGCTCTTTATTTTATGGAAGAGAAACTGCTTGAAAATAAGCCGTTTTATACAAATTATGCTAAAATGGCGGGAAAACGTGATTTTTAGGATGTCATATTTCTAAAATAACAGCATTTTGATCAAAATGAAAATGACCAATAAAGGTCACATATATAGCTGTACAAATTAAAGCTATAAAAAACGTAAAATTAAGATATTCATTTTAAGAGGCCAATTAAGACACATCATATATTACTCTTTTCTAAGTAGACGAGGCAGACCTGGTGACTCTATTCAAAATAGTCTGATTGTACCCAAACAGAACTATACCTAGTTATTTTTATGATAACTCTGTATACTAAATTTCTTTCCAATACATGCTACCTCTGCGAAGAAAATGAACAGAAACTGGTGGACAGACACACTGACTGACTGACCAAGCAGCAAAACAATATGCCCTCTCTTCTTTAAAGGGGGCATATTGATGAATTATCACAATGAAAGGAACCTCACCCCAGAGCTGCCGCCACATAAACTCCAGATTGTGATTTTTTGCCAGGTGTTTTTTGAGGACGTAGTGAACCCTCTGTATCAGCATTCCCGTGACTCCTGACCTGTTCAGGAGGTACGCCATAGTGGGTGAGTATCCAAAGGGGTCAACTGCCCAGCCTGATGTAGGAGAGAAACCTGTCAACAAAAAAACTCTATAGATGAACCCACATACAAGTACACACAAAGAGGTCCACACCCAGCCTTAAACCTTGAAGCAAAATAACTCAGTCTTCTAATATGTTGACAGCCCGACGGCTAGAGCGAGCACAAACTCTTCTATTGTTTTAATTTAGATTGGGCTCGTCAAACCGCACTTGACATTTGGTGCGTCTAGACTCTGAAGTCACATGACATCGTATGTAAGTTACAAATACCAAGAAAAAACTGGACAGTGCTAAGAGTTAATGGAAAAATTTGCTTTTACTATATATCTTCAATTAGTGTCCATTTAATCAAGACGAGTAAATTTTTTGTTGATCATTTGCGGTCTTTCTCGTGAGAACGCAACTTAACTAAGTGATGCATGGTGGGTCAAAATTACTGTGGCAAAAAATGAATGTGCAGTAGTCTGAATTTTCTCTTTGCCCAGGCGTTGTCTTTAGAGCTTGCAGTTACGAGCATCGAGAAGCTATAAATAATTTAATTTTACTTGTATCAAGCAATTTCATTGGCTGAATCATTCAGAGGAACATATAATATTTTGGATAACATAACTTGCCTACGTCACAATGAGTTACGTCAAAAACATAACTCCGCTTGACGTTACTTTTAAATTATGCTATAATATTTACATTTGCAAATGTTTTCCTTTATACAACACTACTAAAGGCAAGCGTTTTTATAACTGTGTGAATACAGGTATGGGGTCAAGAGGTCATAGATGTGCGTTTGGATAAACGTTCGACGTAATTTCTCTGTGACGTCATAAAGGGTTGACGCGTGTTTAGTGGATTACATATATGCCGTTGGGTTTGAAAAATTAAGGCATTTCACACGTTAAAAGGAACAATCAGACAAATATAATAAAGTATGAATAAGTCACAAATGTAAATATAAGTAATAAGGTATCATTTTTTTAGTTTTATTGAGATGTAAAACGGGTTGGCACATGATCAAATCTTCCATAAAGCCTTTCGGGCTTAAAATTATGTACTGTTATATACAGGTGACTCTCGATCTCTCGAAGTTCGAGGGACCGCAAGAAAAGTTCGAGAGATCGAGGGGTTCGAGAGATAGAAAGTAAAATAAAATCCGGAATTCAGTTCCGATCATCGATGTTCTCTTATTATAGATACCGGAGGTATATGTAAATAAAGTTACTGCACGTTTTCAATCGTATTTTACAGGTAATATAATCGATATCAACAACAAAGATCGTATTTCGAATAAATAAAACGAATTCCTGAAGTTTCAATATTTATTTGTTGTTATTTCATGATAACATGAAACCCGGATAGCAATTGTCGGTTTGGCTATTCCGCGGCTTGATCGGGTCCTTCACCAGTGTTCACCAGATTAATCGGTATTCCGTCCTTGAGAAAGGAATCTCTTGTGCAATATTTGCCATACTGGGATTATGTAGACTCTAATAAGAGTTCTTAGTCTATGGGAACTTATTGAAACGGACGTCTATAAATTTATTCTCTAAAAATTATCGTCTCGGTTTCAAGTCAAAATAAGTTGTGAAATCGTTTATAATTTACCAATAATAACCAGTTAATTATATCAAAACACGGACGAGCCACAGGTGTAGTGTCATCTATGTAAACACCCAATTAACACCTCCATGCCAGCCCCAGGCGTTCAATGTTTTTCCAGGTAAGTCCAGGCTCAATTATACGCTTGATCGGTGTTTATACACGCGCAATCAAAACTTCGAGAGATAGAGAGTAAAATTCAATGAAATATGTGTAACGGGACCCAGGTTTTGGTTCGAGAGATAGAGAACTTCGAGAGATAGAAGTTCGAGAGATCAGGAGTAAATTTGCTTAGTTATATAGAGGGAAAAAACGGGACCAGAGGTTCACTTCGAGAGATCGAGAACTTCGAGACTGATGACATATAAAATTATGTATACTGTATATATCTGTGTGTTATACAGACTGATGACATATAAAATTATGTATACTGTATATATCTGTGTTATACAGACTGATGACATATAAAATTATGTATACTATATATATCTGTGTTATACAGACTGATGACATATAAAATTATGTATACTATATATATCTG